TCAATGACAGACTGGATTAAGAAAATGTGGCACATATACACCATGGAATACTATGCAGCCATAAAAAAGGATGAGTTCATGTCCTTTGTAGGGACATGGATGCAGCTGGAAACCATCATTCTCAGCAAACTATCGCAAGAACAGAAAACCAAACACCACATGTTCTAACTCATAGGTGGGAATTGAACAATGAGAACACTAGAACACAGGAAGGGGAACATCACACACCAGGGCCTACTAGGGGGTAGGGGGTGGGGGGAGGGATAGCATTAGGAGGTATACCTAATGTAAATGACGAGTTAATGTGTGCAGCACACCAACATGGCACATGTATACACATGTAACAAACCCTCACGTTGTACACATGTACCCTAGAACTTAAATTATAATAAAAAAGAAAAAAAAGAAATTTAAAATAAAATCACTCTTTATTTCCCTGCAAAAAAAAAAAATAATAAAAGATTAAATTTAGAATAAAAAAAAGATATGAGTTCCTAATGCTTTTCATTCTAGCCACCACTTGGTATTATCAGTCTCTTTGATTTTATCCATTCTAATGGGTTTGCAATGGTATATATATATGTATATGTTTAAATAAGGAAGGGATAGTAAACTTTTTTTGGGATTTCTGTTGCAACTGCCAAAAATGATATATTTAACATATTGGTATGATGTGTTACATTGATAGATTGCCTAGTATTGTAAATTCCTTGCATTTTTAAGGTGAAACTTACTTGATCATGGTGGGTTGTTCTTTTACTATTGAATTTTAATTTCCAGGATTTTATTCAGCATCTTGCATCTCTATTTAGAAGTGAAATTAATATTTTCAAACTATAATAATCATGATTTTTTATGAGGGTTAACGCTGACTTTGTAGAATACATTGGGTAGCTATCCTTAAAGGTTCTTAAAAGTTAAAAAACAAACAAAATTTGAGTCAAATTATCTGACTGTGGGAAATCTTTGGAAATGCTAGATTTAGTCTTAAAGTATTCATATTTAGAATGATGGGGAAACCAAAAGCTGTACTGGTGTTATAAATCTTTCTTCCTGTAGGAGCTTAAATAACATTGTTCAGGTAGGTCTTGGGGAATATAGGCGTAGTCACATTATAGAACGTGAATGGGAAAAACACCACTATATGTACACAGGAGAAAAGAAAAGGAGTAGGAAGGAATAAATTAGGGACTCTGCCTGCGTTTAAAACATTTATAAGATGACAGGCAGCTTTAACATTTTTGAAGTTTCTGTGAACGTATGGGCTTCCCTGAAAGCCTACATTTAGGTGTTTAAGATAATATTTACCTATATATCACATTCAATATTATATAAATTTCCATTACAATCAATATATCTTTGACAAACTTTTAGTATTCTGATAATAAAAAGTAATGAAATCACAGAATTTCTATGAGCTTATGTGTATTTGTTTCAGTACTAGCTGTCAGGAAGGCAGAGTCACAGGTTTGGGAAGAATCAAAGTTGATCATTTGCAAAATCTCTATGGGAAAACTCCTGAGAACTGCAGATTAAAATCCATGTCAGAGCATTGACTTTTCCAGTTATGAAGAAATGAATATGTCAGCATGGTGTGTGCCCTAGCAAGACACATTTCCAGAAGTCATGCATCTCATATTCTCTAGAGAACTCAGTAGGGCAAGATATTCAGGGATGGCAAAAACCTAGTGACCATGGTTTTGGACTGATAGCCCATAGCCTTGCTCCTCACTTATTTTATCTCTTGGAGTGACTTATTTCCTCCAGTTGCTTTGACCTTCTGTTCTTGCAGCTGCTTCATAGGGAAATGTGGAGGAAAGAGAATAATTGGAAATTGTAGAGTCTTTGGTGGAAAAATATGTCCCTAAGTTGGTATTTTAACTATAGTACCAACTTAGAAATAAATACAAGAAATAATAATTTCTTATATTTAATAATCTAAGATTCTGGGATATAGTAATCTTTTGTTTTACTTTATATGTATAAGAAGGTTATAACTAAGGTATGTAGTGAATTACAAGAGATAATTTTTGAATGAATATAAGAATGAATTAAATGAGTTCATAATCTATCAGAATAACCCAATTATATGATTTTAAAGAAAGTCTCCTAAGAAAAATATAAAAATAGCTATTGTATAGTCTAGAGATACCTTTATGGATGTCTTTCCTCTCCTCACTTATATCTTTTACATATTTCTTTTGCATCATGTCTTTACCCCTGCTGTCTCTTTTCTTCCCTTTCACACATATAGACACATATACATACACATACATACATGTACATACACATATACATATATACGTGTGTATCTACGTATAATGTATACATGTGTGTATCTATATGTACATGTAATTATATATAATAGTAAATATGTATAAACATTCAATGCCACATGTGTGTTTCATTTAGAATCCGCTCCTTTTTCAGCCCCTGTTGTGGTTTGAATGTGTCCCCGCAAAAAATCATGTGTTGGAAACTTAATCCTCAATGCAAGAGTGTGGGAGGAAGGGTCTAATGAGACATGATTATGCCGTAATGGCTGAGGGAATATTAATGCCGCTATCATGAGAGTGGGTTCACTATAAAAGGGCACATTCGACCCCCTTTTGCTCTCTCCTGCTCTTTGCCCTTCCACCATGGGATGACACAGTGAAGAGGCCCTCACTAGGCGCCAACCCCTCAGTCTTGGTCTTCCCAGCCTCCAGAACTGTAAGGCAATAGATTTCTGCTCATTCTACGTTACCCATTCTGTTGTATTCTGTTCTAGCAGTGCAAAATGGACTAAGATGGCCCTCCTCTCCATTTCTCTCTTTTTATTTTCCATCCCCTTTTAACTTTCTTTTTCCATGTTCCCCCTCCCAAAGTCCACATATCTCTTTGATTTCTCTCATTCCTTTTCTAAACCAATCATTAGTTCTCTCCTCCTTCACATTTCTCTAATCTCTCCTCGTTTTTTTCTTTCTCCACACTCGTCCATGTTTCTCTGATATTAGAAACATACACACTCTCTCTCTTCTTCTAAGGCTCTCTTCCCTCTCCTTTGTGTTTTTCTCTCTCCTCTTTCGGCTTGAGCTAACATATTTTACTCTCCTGGTATCTCTGCTAGGTTTTTGTCAGTATCATAGTCTTTTTTGGGATTTATTTTTCTTCATTTATCTGTGTCTTCTTCCTTGTTTATCTACTTTTATGGATTTGTATCTTTTTTACACAGTACCCTTCTGAGTTTCTATCACTTCTTTCCCTGTTTTTCTGAGTTGCCATGCCTTTGGCTGTGTTACTCCCTTTTCTTCTAATGCATTTCTCTCTCTCCCTGATAAATTTCTCATTCTACAAGTCTGATATGGTTAGGCTTTGTGTCTCCACCCAAATCTCATCTCATCTCGAATTGTAATCCCCATAATCTCCACATGTCAAGGCAGAGAATGATGGGAGCGGTTTCCCCATGCTGTTCTCATGATACTGAGTGAGTTCTCCTGTAGGGGGCTCTTCCCCCTTCACTCAGCACTTCTTCCTGCTGCCCTGTGAAGAAGGTGTCTTGCTTCCCTTTTGCCTTCTGCCATAATTGTAAGTTTCCCAAGGCTTCCTCAGGCGTGCTGAACTATGAGTCAATTAAACCTCTTTCCTTTATAAATTACCCAGTCTCGGGCAGGTCTTTATACCAGCATGAGAATGGACTAGTAGATACACACATCATAAGCCTGCCATATCTCACAGGAAAAATAATGTGCACCTTCAGCACTAGTTTATATCCACACAAGCACATTTATCACAATATATCACTTATTTATTTCTGAATGCTAGGTAGAGTGGTTGCTGCTAAGACAGGGTATAGTGAGGACTATGAGAAAGGGCAAACCTGGATTTGAATCCTACCTGCATCAGTTGGACAAGTTTCTTAGCTTCCCTAGGCATGTTTTCCTAACTGATAATTATAAGGTGAACCATATAATTTATTGTCCAAACTGAGACACTTTTATTGAGGGTGAAAGGGTGGTTCTAAAAACAAAATTAAACAATAGTTGGAAATATTTATGTATCGGCCCACAAATTGATTTTGTTTTTTTAATAGACTTATAAAATAGTTTTATGCAAAAACATTTTAAATCTGAAATCTTCCTAAAGTAAAAATAACATGTTTGTGTATAGTAAAGCAAATTACAAAAAATTTATACTGATTATCTGAACACTAAGACAACATAAGTAGACGAATTATTGTTTGAGACTTAGTTACATACCTTTTTTGCTTTACTTATGCGATTAAGCTACAGACGTTGATGTTTTCTGGCTACCCCAGAAGCATATTGGATCTTAATTTGCGTAGTACCTTGAATGTGAAGGCCTTAGTGTTGAAGGTGGAAAGGAAGTCAGGGGTTGTATTGTGCTTATATACATATATCCAGTTAATCCTTGTTTTTTTCCCAATATGTTACCCACCACCACTCTGGACTGTTCCTAGTGTCTTCCAGTCCATAAGATCCTCTGTCTTACCCTCTTTTAAAAATAAACCTTGAAATGGGAGATGGTTGGTTAATTTTCTGTCCAGAATGAGGGTGGGCATTTGGGGATCTAGAAAGCTGAGTGCTTCTGAGATTTGCAGTTAATCTTCCTTATTTGAGAATCCCCTCCAACACAGTTCTACTTCCAGTGACTATTTAGTGAGGCTTTTGGAAGATTCTGTGAGTCAAATTAGCTTGGTTATTGTCTTCTTCACTACTATATTTACTTTTCTTAGGAACTACTGAGTCATTTTCCATTTTCCATATACTTTTCAGTTTCCAAAATTTTGTCCGTGTCATCTTCTCTCCCATCTTATCCAATTTTGTATGTCTGTACCTTTAAAATATCCCCTTGGCGGGGGGAGGAGGCAGAGGGAGGAGGAGGAGGAAGAATTGGTCGGAACTCCAGCGCTGGCGCTGGCGGCGGCGGCGGCGGCGGCGGAGGGGAAAGGAAAGAGGAAGGCTGAGCGGCGAGAGGCGGAGACGGAGCCCGACAGGGGCGGCACCACGGCACGAGCCCTGCACTGTCCAGTGCAAGGGGAGCGACGCGAAGATCAGTCGACGGCGCTGCCGCCACCACCACCGCCGTAGACACACTCTCATCCTACGGGCTACGCCTGGGCCTTGCTGCCAGGAAGCTTCGGCCCCGCAGCTCGGCTTGCTGCGGTCTTAGGTTTCTTTACCTCCAGAAAGAAGAATATTGACCCCTTGAATTCTGGAAGTTCATTGAAGAATCGGAAATTAGGGACTTATTTCAAATTTGGACATGGCTAATCGAGGTGCAACAAGACCCAACGGGCCAAATACTGGAAATAAAATATGCCAGTTCAAACTAGTACTTCTGGGAGAGTGTACTGTTGGCAAATCAAGCCTAGTGCTTCGTTTTGTGAAAGGCCAATTTCATGAATTTCAAGAGAGTACCATTGGGGCTGCTTTTCTAACCCAAACTGTATGTCTTGATGACACTACAGTAAAGTTTGAAATATGGGATACAGCTGGTCAAGAACGATATCATAGCCTAGCACCAATGTACTACAGAGGAGCACAAGCAGTCATAGTTGTATATGATATCACAAATGAGGAGTCCTTTGCAAGAGCAAAAAATTGGGTTAAAGAACTTCAGAGGCAAGCAAGTCCTAACACTGTAATAGCTTTAGCAGGAAACAAGGCCAACCTAGCAAAAGAGCAGTAAATTTCCAGGAAGCACAGTCCTTTGCAGATGACAATAGTTTATTATTCATGGAGACATCAGCTAAAATATCAATGGATGTAAGTGAAATATTCATGGCAATAGCTAAAAAATTGCCAAAGGATGAACCACAAAATCCAGGAGCAAATTCTGCCAGAGGAAGAGGAGTAGACCTCACTGAACCCACACGACCAACCAGGAGTCAGTGTTGTAGTAACTAAACCTCTAGTTTGAACTAGCTGGAAGAGTCTTCTGCTTCCTAAATGTTAATGACAATGGAATTGGAGCATTTAACCAGCCCAGTATGACTTCCAAAAGAAGAGACTTATGATAGAGTCAAGTTTCTAATACACAATTATTTTAAGTGTTTTGAACTTTAATAACATGCATGGGTCCTTCTCACTGATGTTTCAACAGTAGGGAAAAAAAGAACTATGCAGACACTTGTTTCAATGGAAGGTTAGGGGGAATAATTTCTCATCACTAGGAATATAGACAAATGACTGTCTGGACCCACACAGTTAACCAGCCCATTTCTCCACACTGGTACAGTAGTCACCTGTGAAAAAAAATTTGGAACTTACTAATTTGGGCTTTTCAAAAACATCCATTTTTTAGAAGGAGATTCTAAAGTTATTTATGATGCTTAGCCGTAGTATTCAGGCAAATGTTCATTTCTCCTGGTATCTGTATTTAAAATGTACATTCCACATTTTAATAAATTAACCACAAGAAAATAATCACACATATACAAGGTGGGGGGGTGGGGAAGAGTATTAATGGTATCAATTATAGCCAGTCCCGTTTTTTTTTTTTTTAAATGGGGTAAAAATCAAATGCAATCCCATCTTGTTTTAAGAATTTGAGAACTAATAAATGCACCTTAATGGATAGTGTTCCTTTCAAACATGTGAGTTCTTTAACAAAAATGAAATAAACCAGGTGTCTGTGATTTCTGATTAATCACTACTGGCCATTAGATAGGTTTTGTTGTTTGGGGCAGCAATGATTAATCAGAAATCACAGACACCTGGTTTATTTCATTTTTGTTAAAGAACTCACATGTTTGAAAGGAACACTATCCATTAAGGTGCATTTATTACTCTGTTTATTACTCTGCCTGTATAGCTACAGTGAAGACTTAAAGTAAATCTTGAAGTCAGGTAGTGTCAGTTCTCCAACTTTATTATCCCTCAATATTGTGTTGGCCATTCTGGGTATTTTGTCTTTTGATATAAACTTTAGAATAAGTTTGTCAATTTCTACAGATATTTGATTGGGATTGTGTGGAATCTCTAGATAAATTTGGGAAGAACTGACATGTTAAAAATATTGGTCTTTTCATGTACATAGATTATTTCTTTATTCCTTTAGATATGTGTGTGGTTTTAACAATTCTTTCGTAAGTTTTGCAGTTTTCCTCAAAATGAATGTTGTACACATGTTGTTATACTTATACCTAGGTATTTCATTTGTTTGGCACTAATGCAAATGACTTTGTGTTTTTAATTCCTAATTCCAATTGTTCATTGCTAGTATGTAGGAAAGCAACTGATTTTTTGCATATTAATCTTGTATCCTGCAACCTTGCTATAATCATTCATTAGTTCTGGGAGATTTTTGTTGTTGTTGGTTCTTTTGAGATTTTTCTACAGAAACAATCTTATCTTCTGGGAACAAAGACCCCTTTTCCTTTCTTCCAAATCTACATACCTTTTATTTACTTTGTCTTATTGCATTAATTAGGACTTCCATTACGATGCTGATTAGGATTGGTAAATGGGAGTCAGGGCATCCTTGCCTTGTTCCTGTTCTTAGAGGAAATGCTTCTAGTTTCTCAGCGTTAAATATGATATCAATTGTAGGGTTTTTGTAGATGTTCTTTATCATATTGAAGATTATCCCTGAGATTTTTTGTCATGAATGGGTATTGGATTTTGCCATATGTTTTTCTGCATCTGTTGATATCATCATAGGACTTTTATTCTTTAGCATGTTAGTGTGCTCAATTACAATAATTTACTTGCAAATGTTGAACAAACCTTGCATATGTGGAATGAATCCCACTTGGTTGCACTGTATAATTTCTTTTATATATCATTGAATTCCATTTGCTAATATTTTGTTGAGGGATTTTGCATTTCTGTTAGTGGGAGATATTGGCCTATAGTTTTTCTCTTTTTCTAATTTCTTTGGCTTTCGTATTGGTATAATATAGACCTCATAGAATGAGCTAGGATGTATTTGCTCACTTTTATTTTCTGGAAGAGATTTTAAGGAATTGGTATAATTTCTTCCTTAAATTTTTGGTAGGATTCAACCTACCAAACACTATTTCAGATTAGAGATTTCTGTTTCAAGAAGATATCATTGATTCAATTTAATCAGTTGATATTGGCATACTCAGATTATCTGTTTCTCCTTGTGTGAGTTTTGGTAGTTTTAGTCTTTCAAGAAATTGATCCATTTCATATAAGATCCATTTCATCAAATTCATGGGCATAGAGCTGTTCATAACATTTTGTTGTTATCCTTTTGATGTTCATAGGCTCAGTAGTAATGGCTTCTCTTTCATTTATGATATTAGTAATTTGTATCTTAATTCTTTTTTTCTTAGATAGCCTGATTAGAGGTTTATCCATTTTATGGATCTTTTCAAAGAACCAGCTTTTGGTTTCATTGATTTTCTGTTTTCAGTTTCATTGAGTTATGTTCTAATTTGTATTAATGTTTTCCTTTACATTAGCCTGGGACAAAGTCTATTTGACTCTCAATGACTAGTGACAAGTCTGTCCGTTTGTGTCAACAGACTCAGTCTTTCTTCCTGTGATGAGTTAAGCTAATGCAACCTCAGGAAAGGCAGTTGTGATCTTATTTGGAAAATATGGCTTCTAGGTAGATAAGAGAACTTCAGAGAACAACTTCACTTTGTGCTTTGGGAGACACAGAGAATTGAAACAGGGGTGAGGCAGGGAGAGGTCAGAGACACCTTGAGGCTTCTTTTTCAGTTCAGCCTGTCAAAGCACCATATTTTGGGGTATTGGTTTCTGATCCCCAACACAATCAATGTTACATACTACTCTCCAAGTACTGCTTTTGCTCCAACTTGTAAATTTTAATAGGTTACATTTTCTTATTCATTTAGTTCAAAGTATTTTTAAATTTCTCTTGAGGCATCTTCTTTCATTTTTGTTTTTGTTTTTGAGATGGAGTCTCACTCTGTCACCCAGGCTGGAGTGCAGTGGTGCAATCTCGGTTCACTGCAACCTGCCTCCCAGGTTCAAGCGATTCTGCTATTGAGCCATCTTCTTTCTCTTCTTTCTCACACACAAGAGAAAGAAGTGTGTTGTTTAATCTCTAAGAATTTTAGGATTTCCCATTTATCTTTCTGCTATTGATTCCAAATTTTATTCTTTTATGGCCTGAACGCATACTTTGTGTAACTTCTACTCTTTTAAATTTGATGTGCTTGTGAGACTCATGATAATGACAATATAAAAACCTATAATAGATAAACTAATAAAAACCAACAAATTAAATACACTATCAGAGAAAAATTACTTAACTACAAAAGATGACAGTAAGGAAGAAAGGAAGCGAGGAGTTACAAAACAATCAGAAAGCAAGAAACAAAATGGCAGCAGTAAGTCTTCCCTTATCAGTAATAATACTGAATGTAAATGGACTCAGTTCTCTGATTCAAAGACATAGAATGACTTAATGGATAAAGAAAAAAGACTTAACTATATCATGCCTACAAGAAACTTACCTCACCTCCAAAGACACACATCGACTGAAAGTGAAAGGATGGAAAAAGATATTCCATGCAAGTGGAAATCAGAAAAGAGCAAGAGTAGCTATACTAACTTCAGATAAAATAGACTACAAGTCAAAGACTGTACAAAGAGAAAAAGAGTGTCACTATATAATAAAGGAGTCAATAGAACAAGAATATATAATAATTATGAATATCTATGCTCCTAACACCAGAGGTCCCAAGTATATAAAGCAAACATTAATAGATCTGAAGGCAGATATAGACTGCAACATAATAATCATAGGGGAAGTAGCACCACACTTTCAGTGATGGACAGATCATCTAGACAGAAAATCAACAAAGAAGCATTGGAGTTAAACTATCTACTAGACCAAATAGGCCTAACTGCCATCTGCAGAACATTTCACCCAACTGCTGCAGAATACACATTATTTTTTATCAGTTCATGGAACATTCTCCAGAATAGACCATATATTAGTTCACGAAACAAATCTTAAAAAATTCAAAAAGGAAAAATCATATCAAGTATATTTTTCTGACAACAATGGAATAAAACTAGAAATCAATAACAATAGGAATCTTAGTAAATTCATGGAAATTAAACAACATGCTCTTGAATGACCAATGGGTCAATGAAGAAATGAAGAAGGAAAATTAAAATGTCTTTAAACAAATGAAAGTGGAAGTGCATCATACCAAAACCTATGGGATCCAGAAAAAACAGTACTAAGAGGAAAGCTTATAGCAATACATGCCTATGTCAAAAAAGTTGAAACACTTCAAATAAGCAATCTAACAATGCACCTCAAGGAACTAGAAAAGCAAGAACAAACCAAACTCTAAACTAGAAGAAAAGAAATAATAAAGATTAGAGCAGACATAAATAAAATTGAGACTAAAGAACACAGAAGATCAATGAAAAGCTGATTTTTGAAAAGATAACAAAATTGGCAACCTTTAGGTAGACTAAGAAAAAGAGAGAAGACCCAAATAAATAAAATGAGAAATGAAAAAGGGAACATAACAACGGACACTTAAGAAATCCAAAGAATCATTAGAGTCTATTATGAACAACTATACACTAGCAAATTGGAAAACCTGAAGAAATACATAAATTCCTGGATGCATACTACCTACCAAGATTGAACCAGGATGAAACAGAAAACCTCAACAAACCAATAATAAATAATGATATCAAAACCATAATAAAAAGTCTCCTCTCAAAGAAAAGCCCAGAACTTGGTGGCTTCCCTGCTGAATTCTACAAAACATATAAAGAAGGACTAATCCTGCGTGATTTTTAATTTGATTAGATCCCTTTTTCCTGGCTTTTTTGAGATAATCATTCTTTCCTTCCCTCCTTTTTTCTTTTAATATGGTGAATTACATTATAGATTTGTTAATGTTGAACTAACTTTCCATTCTTGACATAAACATATCTTTGTCATTCTGTATTAACCTTTTTATCCATTGCTGGATTCACTTTGTTAATATTTTACTTATATTCTTTGCATTTCTTTCCTGATTTTGAGTTTGGCCAGTGACTTTATGTCCTCATTTTTTTTTCCCCCAGTTTTTGTATCAAAGTCATACCAGCCTCATAAAATAAATTTGGGAGTGATTCTTCATTTTTTCCTTCTTGAAATATATTCTGTAAGATTGGATTATTTATTCCTTATGTGTTAAGAGAAAGTTCTACATTCACTTTCTTTTGGTGGTAAATAATTACAAAAAAATTTTAACAACTTAAAACAGCACCAATTTATTATCCCACAGTACTGTGGATAAGTAAGGGGGCAGGGCTGATTTCATCTCTTTGAATCTCATAAGACCAAAATTAAGGTGTCAGTAGGGCCATATTTCTTTCTTGAGCCTCAAGGGTAGAATCCATTTTGAAACTCATCAGGTTGTAGTCAAAATTCAGTTCCATACAGCCGTAGGAATGAGGTTTCCTTTTCTTTGAATAAGATAATTAGTAACCTTAATTCCATCTGCAAAGTCCCTTTGACATGCAACATAACATATTAAAAAGCATAACACCAAGGAAAAAGATAATGGAAGCCCAAAATTCTGCCTGCCAAAAGTTCACTTGAAAAACCATTTGTGCTTGCTTTCTCTCTGTAGAAGA